CCCTCCGGTTCAAAATATAAGCTAAACTTTCTTAAAGAGGTTGGTTTTTTTTATAAGATAACATTCACTTTTATCCAAGCATTTAATGAGTTTTTTCTAATTTTACCCTCATATATTCTCTTTCCTCTTTAATTCATTTATTACATCTTTTACTTGTTCTCTTCATTAATAAGGGTATATTAGAAAACGCAAATATATGCCTTACGTATTTATTGTTTTAAATTGATTTTAATTAGTTTTTTGATAAACATAATAAATAAAATTTAGCTTATATTTTAAACGGGAGGGAATAACATACAAAAGTTTATCTCCAGTTACTGAGCATGAGTTGGGATTTTGCAAGCCAATATCTGATCAATCTCTAGTTGTCACGTTATATTTACTTATATTAACGGTATTTTCGACATTTAACCTCAAAACATATTTTTATTTCAGTCCAACGGGCCTACAGAATAATTTCAGAATTTGAAATAACGTGTTATTCATAGCTGCGGGCGTGAGTAGCGCACTTTTTCATTTGATTCTTAATCCGATCTTATGTATGGAGTGAACTTTTTTGAAAAAGAATCGATTTTTTGCCCTCATACAAGATTAGTCTAGGAAAAAGACACTCACGGTCCCATCGAACAATTTTTTTCCATTCTAGTAAAAAAAAAAAAGGGAGAATCTAAAAAAAATATCTTTAAATTTTAAAATTCTAAATCTTATTTACTACATTATAATAACAATTGACAATACATTTAAAAAGCAGATAACAACATATTTTTATAATTGTTCCTAGTTCGGGATTTTAAAATTTTAGAAGGTTTTTTTAAGGAATTTTTCTCCAAAAAAATTGTTATTTTTTTTGACAATTTTAATAATCTAAATTCATACTGGTCTTTGTCCATTTATCATATTCTAACAAAGTGTTAATCCTGTTGGCAGCCTCTGGTCAAAAAAAAAAATCCTGTTGGCAGCCGCATATGAATAAAAAGGAATATTGCACTGCATCAAGATAAAATTGTTTCTTCCCAATTGATCATACATGAAATTAAAAATACACTTTCTTTCTCTAACCTAGCTTTTTCCTACTTCATCCTAAATATTCGCCATTTGTAGTTATGCCAAAATAGTTGGACTATATTCTTAAAATAGTACAAGGCAAATAGGTCTTCCTTTTCTTGCTCTTGGTTGTGCTTCCAAGACTTCATTTTCTAGCAATTCTAATGGAACAAGCAACATTATTCCTTTTTCTTTTTTTTCTTTTTTGAGTTGAAAAAGAAGCAACATTATTCTGAAAACAGTCTTTTCTTGCTAAAATGTCTTCGCACAATTTTGAGCTGGATCATTTATTCTTAATTTTTCACAAGCACTATAAGAGATAGATTGAAAATTTCTTCTGCCTTTCAAAGAAGTTCCTTTTACTTACCAACTCAAAGGATTTGGATTATTCCAATATTATTCATCAAGACATCATCTCCTTCTTCAAATCTTTTGCCTCTTTTGATGCTCATGTGGCTCCCTTTCCCTTCCCTTTAGTTAATCTCTTTTCTTCTCTTAACAATTATCCTGGTTTATTTTATGTTTTGTAAATGATGTATGAGTTTGTTATTGGCTAATATCATTTTAATTCTTTTTTTTTGGTGGGGGGGATAATGGGTTTGTTTTCCAAGAAACTTATTTCAAATAAATATATAGCAGAGAAATAATTCCAATACTTGATAATTTAAGAAACATTCCATGACGTAAAAAGGGTCTAGTATTCAACAAAATGATGTTTAATAATTAATAAACCAAGACATCATATATATCAAAATGTTGGCAAAAGAAGACATCATATCAAAATAATTTATGGAATGGGATGCTTTTTCTTCCCCATAAGGCATATCCTAACTTGTGGGAATTACTCACAAGGGCCATTCAAATTTGGCCTGAAATATATGCCTTTCCCTTATTCAATTAGAACATTTGAACTTACTTTCATATCCATGAGAATATTTTTCTTTTCTTTTTTGTGCAAAAATGTTGATTAGGCTATAAAAGGAGCCCCAAATCAAACATAAAAGCTCAATTCTAACTCATGTTAATCAATAAATCTATATCCTTTTCAGCAAATTTGAAACAGGACATGGGCCATCTCCTCTTTTATGTTGTGTTTGGTTTTTTTAAAAAAAAAAAACTAAAAAGGAAATGAAAAAGTGGGGGAAATAGAGAGAAGGAAAGCAATTTGGTTTGCATGAATTGAATTTCCCTCTCCCTCCATCATTTCATGGAATTCCATTCAACCAAATTTCATTCCTTCACTCCAAAGAGTCCATCTTATCCTGGAACCTATACATCCTATTTTCTCTCTATATCTCTCCACTCCACCTCAAAAGCATTCTAATGAATCATTATTCATTATTCCCTCATATCCTTTTTATAAGATACAATTGTTGGATATGCCTTGTTTCTTTTTATAAGAAACACTTAGAAGTAGGGGGTGTTCACGAGAGAAGACGGGACCGGGATAGGGATTTTGTCCCATGTCCCGTCCTGTCCCAATTCTATCCCAGTCTCGTTAGGATCGGACAGGACAGAGACGTCTCGCTTCCCTTTTTTTTTTTTTTTGAAAAAGTTACTATAATTTTTTATATGATTTTTTAATGTTATAATGCTTATTTTTCATTGAGCTTTTAAAGATAAAAACAACATTAAAAAATTACGTAGAAAGCTCAATTATATAGTGTAAAAAAAGTAAAAATAATACTGTAAAAAAAATAGAGGAAAAAAAAATATATAATGTCTTTATGAATTATTTTATTGAGGAATGAGATTTTGTTAAGATAATACTACAACTTAAGAGTTAAAAATCACTATAAAAATAATAATTATTAATAAATAATTTTAAAAAAATATCTCGAGAAGGGACGGGATGGGACAACCCCGTCCTAGAATTTTTTTTGTCCCGTCCTGAACTCACCGGGACCGAGACAAGACAAATTGAATACTCCTACTTAGAAGTTGTCTTGAAGTTTATTTGTAAACTTTTTAATTTACCCTCATTTAATTACAAAAATTACGCAACCCACCATCGTATTTAATTCACATGTTTGACCAACTTGGACTGAAGCATTGAGTATATTAGTATAACACAGAGCCCGAAGCATTATTCTTGTGGAGAGGGAGAGAGAGAAAGTTTAGTTTAAACACTGTCAAGACGAAGTGAAATGTTTGTTATACATTCTCTCTCCCCGCCACATTCTCCCTCTTCCACGTAAATGAGGGTATTTTTAAAAAATAATATTTATTTTTTGTATATTTATTGTACCTAACTAATGTTAATTAATTTTTGAACAATACAATTTGATTAATTGTATCTTATAAAAAAGAATAGGGGAAATGGTATTCACCAACTTGCCCAAAAAAATTTTTGGGTTGGGTTGGAAAAATTTCCCAAACCCATTCAAAGGTGGGCCAACAAGGCCTATCGTGTCAAAAAGGCAAACTCGCTTGTCCAACTTAGGGACGAGTCAACTCACTTTTTTTTTTTTAATTCTAATATAATTTTTTTAAAACAAAATTTCATTTTTAGTTCTAATTAAACAGAAGCAAATAACTTTCTAACTACCAAAATTTCCTAACTACCCCAAGTCTCCCAATTGACTCCTGAGAATTTGATTGATTTCACTTTCCATCCATCTAGAATAATCCTCCATCAAAATACACAAAGTAGAATGGTAGAAGAGTAACCACTACAAGTCATTATTTAATTTTAACAATATATGTTTTTATTTGATTATATGCTCTTTTCTTCAAGATTCTTTCATTTTATTGGTTTTTCCTTGGGCCCATTTTGATTGATTATTAGTTACGAAACCGATTAAAATTTTTTTTAACAATTAACAAATCATTAACACACAATATCTACGTGGTTTTGTCTTTAACGACCAAAATTCACAATTGTGGAAGGATAACAGTAACAAGATCGAGCATTGTATTCTCTCACACACCATCAATCAATCAGGAAAAAGCAAAACGAATATATATATATATATATATATATATATAAATATATTCAAATCTTCCGTTAACGTCTCTGTCTCCTCCAATTCCCAATTCAATGGCGGTGCCTTTCGAATCACACATCATAATTCTCCAATCTTGTTCGTTCCTCAACTCAAAAATTACTCTCCCCACCTCATAATATAACTCGTTGGTTAGGGAAAAAAAATATGATCCAAAATATAAGACGTTATTAGGATAATTAGTGTGATTTTTATCACTAAACATAGAAAAGAGATGAGAGATGATAAAAGTATAAAATTAAAGACAACTTTATTATTTTTTTAGGAATAAAACATGAAAATTTTTTATTTTAAGATAAATTTAACGACTAAACTTTTATCTCTTGGCAGAAAAGTTAACTAATTTCTTATAGTAATTATTTACTATATCTCTAAATATCATTATTAGTGGTGGGGTTCAGAGGCATGAGATTCAATGTTACCACTGGTGAGAGTGTACGACAAAATATCTTCCCTATATAAACCCAATGGCCAACGATCAAACAATTCAGAGACAAAACAAAGCAAGGCAAGCAGCTAGCAGATAATAAAAAATGGAGTACCCATATTTCCCCAGAAACTACGACGGACGACGCCACAGAGCGTGGAGCCCTTCCTTCACAGACGGAGATGACGGTCGCGGGATGCGTGGGCGCCTGCCGTGGCCGCCGAAGCCGCCGTGGCGGCTCCCGCCGCCGCCGCCGCCCCCGCGGCCGACGCCTCCGCGGCCCGCCGCCGCAGCCGCCGTGGCCGCGGCCCAAGCACCTCGTGGGATTTAAGGCTGAGCTAGAGGAGATCATCGGCATCGCCGGCAGCGGCGTGCCCCCACCAGAAAACGGCGTCGTTCACAATGATCGTAGTTCACCTCCCAACAGTGTTGATGATGAAGCATTGAAGCCGGTGCTTTCATCAAGCACGAACAACAATTATGGTGGTGGGAAGATGATGATGATGAAGCAGCATGAGGATGAGATGAGGATGAGAATGGAGTCTCACAGCTATGGCCTCAATAATCCCTACAACAGTAGTGTTCACTACTGAAGGCCTAAATACCCTAACAGTCACCTTCAGCAGCTCTACTGGAACCAGAAGGGAGTCTGATTAATCCAACCCTAAACACTCTAATATGGCGTCTTCTTGTTTCATGCTAATAAACTTTCTATCAGCTCTTTTATTGCCCAAAAAAGGAAAAAAAGAAGCTTAACTATAATAAGCTTTATCACCTGTGAGCCCTGTGCTGAACTCACACATATGCAACCTCTGGTCTTGGTTTAATTGTCAGATGCATATGTACGTATGTCTTTGCTTGTCCTTGCTTAGTAATATCTGTGCCATATATAGTATAAAGCAACTCCCTTTTTAACCGTTCCTATCAAGTTTTCTCAAAGGTAGTGAAAAGCAAACCGGTCCAATTGAAACAGTGGTTTAAGGGTTAATGGATCATATCAAAATTAAACCGGTAATAAATAAAATAACATAACATAATTAGAATCTGTAAGAATATTTATATTTTAATTAGAAGAAATCATTTTTAATTCTTAAATGAAGTGCTTGTGTATAAAAATTCATCCCTCATTGTATTTTTTTTCCCTTATTTCTTTAGTCACTTTCCCTTCAACTCGTGACCCCTAAATTCTTCCTCATTTTATTTTTTTCCACCTTTTGATTCTCTTTATCTCATGAATGGCATAGGGATGTAATTATTCACCAGTGTTTTTTTTTTTAGCTTTCTTCAACACCGCATCAAAGTTGTCCTTTGGGTATTCTTAGTTTATATTTCCAAACCTCCTCCTTCTCTTTTGCCTTCCGCCATTACACGAGCAGCGCAGGTTGAGTTATGGGGTTTCAGAGCACTGTCCATGGCTTCTCCTGGTACAGATCTGATCAGCTCTCATTAAAGCATCAACTGCGATGATCTAATGATCAGTGGGAGAGGGAAGAGAAGTTCAGCGCAGAGAAACTCAGGCGAGCAGTGACTAGAGTTGGTGTTTGAATCATTCTTTTTCGGCGTACTGCGAGTTTGAAAAATAAACTGGCGACTCACTTAACCCAGCAAGCCACCCGAGTTAATCCCGAGTTAGGCTGAGTCACGCTGGTTTAAAGTTTTTCTGGTGTGGGGATAAACCGGATAAGACTACTGGCTGGTTTGCGGAGTTCTAGCTTAAACTAATCAGTCCAGTCCGGTTTTTAGGACACTTAGTTTTTTTTTTTTTTTTTGCAATCATCAAATTTCAGGTTGTGCAGAAAATTTATAGCCTAACTTGACCCAAAGAAAATTAACCCCCAAATAAACACTCTCTTCCTATATACTATTGAAGGAAGAAAAATGTGTAGGGGTAACTTGGAATTATATTTTATGATTAAAAGATAATAAGTAAAATTCTTTAATTAACAACAAAGGATTATGACCAATTAATTTGTTATATGTGGCATTTACTTATACAATTTTAAGGCATTTTCAAAATTAGGATTAAGGTGCAAATCCATCCCTGAACCATTTCACCATGTACATTTATCATCATAAACTTTTCTCATGTGTAAAAATTTATATAAATGTTTCAAAACAAAGGTGCAAAAATGCTACTGTTAAGTCAAGTGTTAATTGTTTAACAAACATATCAATAAAAAAATGGTACAAAAATATACCAAAACTTTTTAAAATGGTATAAAAATGTCACGGGCCGTTAAGTAACTAACATCGATTGTTTCTTGAACAACCCCCAACGTCTTTGGTTTCCCTAGCTACTTCATCCACCCTCTGTCTTTGGTTTCCTCAATGTTAGGTTTGTGACGTTGCTCCAAAGCTAACAACCTGTGAATTAGAAGCAGTGTTGTTATAAATTAGCCATATATATACTGGAAGGAGACAAATGCAAGGATGACAAAGAGAAGGTTGAGGATGACTTATTCATCGTCACAGATCAACACATTCAAATCCTCTCATAATGTTCATCAATCGTGAAGAATCCAAAAAAAGCAAGTGGATTTTGCAGCTATTACATTGTGTGCGCAAAAGACTCAATAGTGGCAGACAGAGTCATTGAGGGCGAAAATGTTGTATGAAGTATGAGGATTGTTTGCTAATTCAACGTTGGTTAACTTAATGTCTATGACATTTTTATACCATTTTTTTGATTGATATGTTTGCTGAATACTATCTCCGGTCCTTAATATAAGAGTTAGTTAACTAATTTGAGTAGATTAAGAAAGTTTGTTAAATTTGTTACTCGTAATAAATAGGTGTTGTCTTTCCTAAAATATCGTTACTAATAATGTATATTAACTAAAACTACCATTTGATAAAACATTTAATATGTCAACTACTACAAAGATTATCTTTAAAAAAGTTGATAAATATGAGAGACAAAATGGATTAGGATCTTATATTTATGACAAAATTAAAAGTCAAACTAATTCTTATATTAGGAATCGAAGGTAATAATTAACACTAATTGATTTAACAATTGTAATATTTTTGCACTATTTTGAAATCTTCATTATATACTACCTTCGATCCTAATTATAAGACTTCGTTTGTGAATTGGGATAACTACAAACGGGGTTTTATAATTAGGATCGGAGGTAGTACATTTGCATCTGAAAAATAGCTTATAATGTTAGATGCCTCAAGGTAGATTACCACTTTTAAGCCTAAAAATTACTCCGTCCGGTTCAAAATATAAGTTAAACTTTCTTAAAGAGGTTGGTTTTTTTTGTAAGATAACATTCACTTTTATCCAAGCATTTAATGAGTTTTTTTTCAATTTTACCCCCATATATTCTTTTTTCTCTTTTATTCATTTATTACATCTTTTACTTGTTCTCTTCATTAATAAGGGTATATTAGAAAAAACAAATATATACTTTACATATTTATTGTTTTAAATTGATTTTAATTAGTTTTTTGATAAACATAATAAATAAAGTTTAACTTATATTTTAAACCTGAGCGACTAACATACAAAAGTTTATCTCCAGTTACTGAGCACGAGTTGGGATTTTGCAAGCCAATATCTGATCAATCTCTAGTTGTCACGTTATATTTACTGATATTAACGGTATTTTCGACATTTAACCTCAAAACATATTTTTATTTCAGTCCAACGGGCCTACAGAATAATTTCAGAATTTGAAATAACGTGTTATTCATAGCTACGGGCGCGAGTAGCGCACTTTTTCATTTGATTCTTAATCCGATATTATGTATGGAGTGAACTTTTTTGAAAAAGAATCGATTTTTTGCCCTCATACAAGATTAGTCTAGGAAAAGACACTCACGGTCCCACCAAATAGTTTTTTTCCATTCTAGTAAAAAAAAGGGAGAATCTAAAAAAAAATATCTTTAAATTTTAAAATTCTAAATCTTGTTTACTACATTATAATAACAATTGACAATACATTTAAAAAACAGATAACAACATATTTTTGTAGTCGTTCCTGATTTGGGATTTTAAAATTTTAGAAGTTTTTTTTAGGAATTTTTCTACAAAAAAAAATTGTTATTTTTTTGACAATTTTAATAATCTAAATTCATATTGGTCTTTGTCCATATAAATATAAGTATCATATTCCAACAAAGTGTTAATCCTGTTGGCAGCCGCATATGAATAAAAAAGGGATATTGCACTCACTACAAGTAAATGTTACGTTAGCAGCGGAACATTTCTAGAGGTTCAACAAAACCGCTAGAAATTCTAACATTTCTAGCGATTTTAAGAAAAACCGCTGCAAATTAGCAACGCTTTGACCATGTAGATGGTGGGGCTCGCATATTTCTAGCGGTTGTAACCTAACCGCTAGAAATTCACAGCTAGAACCTTTCCCGGGTTTTGGCGAGAACTTGGCGCCAAAATTGTAGCGTTTATTTTCTAGCGGTTTAGGCCAACAAACCGCTAGAGACTGATAATTTCTAGCGGTTTCCACTTAAACCGCTAGAAAATATTTAATTTCCCGAGGAGATGTATGTGACCGTTGCAATTTCTAGTGGTTCTTGATAAAACCGCTAGAAATTTCTAGCGGTTTCTCTAAAAACCGCTAGAAATTTCTAGCGGTTCTTATCAAGAACCGCTAGAAAAAGTGTAAATTCCCAAGGTGCCTAAATGCGGTGAGTGATCGTTAACATTTTGTAGCGGTTTTGTCCAGAACCGCTAGAATTTTCTAGCGGTTATTCCTAGAACCGCTAGAAATGCGCGGCCTATATATACTCCCCCCCCACTTTCACTTCTTCAGTCGTTCAGGAAGCAAAGCTCTGCTGAATTTTCTCCACAAAATATATCCGAGTTCTGATTCAGTTGCAGATCCTTATTTTCAGGTAGAAGTAGTAATTTATTTATAAATAATTTTTATTTTTATGTTTTATTTAATTTATTATATTTTGGCTTATAAATAATTTTTCTTTTTATTTTATTTATAAATAATTACTATTTGTTGTTATTAGGATGAGTCGTCGGCCAGGGAAGGAGCCAATTGATCCTGAGAGAGCTGGACCCAGTGAGGATCGTCATGATGCTGGTGAGCCATTCCCCAACATTCATGACTACGATCTCAGCGAGGAGGATATCCTCAGCTTTATGGAGCAAGATGATATCGAGCGGACTGAGGAGGCTCATTTCACTGGGGATGGACAACCTCATGCTGATGCTGATGCTGATGCTGCTAACGAAGAGGACGAGGAGGAGCAGGTTCAGGGGAATGAGAATCCCCAGACTGCGCAGCGTCCTGCTCCCAGACGTCAGGCCGGTTTTGAGGTGGAATTTGTGGGTAAGTATTTATTTAACTTTTTTAAATTTGACAAGTATTTAATTTATATAGAAATTGTATTAATTTATTCATATATAATTTATTTATTAATTAAATTTTACAGACTCTGAGGGGAACAGGTCCTATAGGAGGCTGACAGCCAGAGAGCTGTCTATGATGACGAGCGGACGAGTGGTTGTGCCGCTCAATGAGTTGGGCCAACCGATAAAGAAAGGTGGCCAGTTGTACAATAAGTACGCGCCTCCTTGGTCAGCAGTGGACGCTGTTCCCCATCTACGTGCAGGACTGGAAGAAGATCACCTCAGACAAGAAGTAGCAAGGTTGGGAAATGATGAAGGTAATATAAAATTGTTATTTATAATTTTTTTTAATTTAAATAAATGATTATATATTTTGTTTTCAAATAATTTAATTGTTTGATTATAATTTTTTATTTATTTAATTTGTTTTTTATTTATAATATTTTTAAAAGTAGTTAAATAAATATATATTTTTTATTTAAATCATTTTATTATTTGAAAATAATTTGTTATTGATTTCATTAATTTATTACTTATAATAATTTTAAATTTAGTCGAGTAAAAATA